ATACGGGAAATGGATGTTCAAATCTAACTTGGAGTACTAATAAAAAATGTCGGTGAGGCAATTTTACATATAACCTTAATCTTCACTCTAACCCTAACTATATATCAACTTTTGGGTAATTTTATTCTGCGGCACGAACCTGGCACACATTCCAAATGTGCGTTATGGACCATTGATGACATACATTTAATGCATTAAAAAAAGACTTTTATAGTTAGATCTGTAATTGATTAGACACGTCATTTATTTTCATTTTCTGCTTGCCTGTATCGGTATTTTTCATTTCCGCGTACAATGCACGTATAAAGTTTGCTTGGTGTATACAAATATTGGAATTCTTTCACCATTGTGTAACTAGTATAGAATCGTACATGTATATATAATGTTCTCGACAAACGAGGCACTTATGAGTACGAATCTTTAATATTCTTTTTATTGTCTCTTTTGGAACGGCCTGATGCGTTTTGTCCAAAGAATATTTAAGTTCATCCGTCTATCTGATAAGAAAGTAGCTTTGATAATTCCCTTTGTTCAACTTGTCAGGCCCAGAATGATTAAAATATTGGCACTTGTGTCTTTTTCAGTTGGTGTTGACGCAAAACTATTTGATGATGGTCCACGTGACAGAGCACATTTATTTGAGTACTTACCGGCTGTAATGGAAATTATAACACTCAACATTTTACCAATCATTATTTTCTATACCTTTACCCCGCCCGAAGCTGATCAAATTTCAACGTACTTTGGCCTTGTGGACGATTTTTTATTTCTCTTCTTACCGATGATCTACCTACTCTACTTCGGCATCTTGAATACTATTTGCAGCTATGGGGCTAGACACGGGGTTAGCCCAACTTTTATTGTGTCAGCCATCGTAATAATTATTTACATTCTGTATTTATTCTCGTTCTACCCAAATGCAACTTACTTGAAGCGAATTCGAAGCGCCAGATTCACTCAACGCTATTGTTGGACATATGTCATGGTCGTCATTGTATGTCTTTTCTTGGACTCTTTCTTCTATTTGACCCAAGTTTTCAATTGTTACAATAACAAGATGGTGCAAAAAAATGCAACAAATGCAAAAAATGACGATGCATTGTATTATTTCGTATTTACTGTGGCCTGGATTCTTTTCACGATAATTCTATGGTTCAGAATTCAAAATATTCTTCGTTACCTTGGGTGGCAAATAATATTTATTCTCTTGTATATTCCAACACTTTTCTTATACGTCATAAAGGCAGCTATAATTGAGGCTTCTCACGAATATATTAGCAAAGTGATCACGTCCATAACGATTCTTTTATTGACGCGAATGACCTTTTGGAGGTATTCGAATGATATCGAATACATAGGTATCTTCAGGACGTGGTTCAGGTATCAGAGATCGCATTCTGAGATAGATCCCAAATTTGATAAGCGTGTTTTGTTTATTTTGTTTCCCTTGATCCTTTTACCCATCTATTGGTATGTTTTCATTACCACTCAAAATTTTATTTATCCTAAAATCAGTTGTCGTTCACTTGAGAAAATAATGGCGCCTACTTGTTACATATCAGGCAAATCGGGAGCTTACTCTGGTGGCACCTGGTTTGGGTGACATATTTGTAAATTCATCGAGAAGAAATACACAAACTATTTATTGTTTTGCCTACTTTTTATTGTTATCAATCTATTCATTCCGATTTTCATTATACGTATTTACCTCATGTCTATTCTTAATCTTTTTGTTCTAATTGTTAATTAAGAGTTTGGTTAGCTTTTCTGAAACGGAATCAAGTTAAATTCACTCTATTTAATTTGAAATATGAAGATATTCATTCTCCACTGGGAAACAAAACTAACCAATAAGTCACTTTATTAATGAATAAGCTTACAAGCATGATAAAATAAAAATAGTTATGGTGCAGAAACTCTTAAATCGACAATACGTTTCAATTTTGAAATGTTACTACTCGACATAGAGGGTAACTTTGTAGAACTTATTAAGAACAAAGTTACCGGTCAGATTTTGAAAATTTTGCCTCTATGTCGAATAGTAGCATTTTAAAATTGAATACTGCCATATTATAGAGATACAAGGCTACACTTGGAAAGAATCCCTTCCAATCCATTACAGCTAAACGCACGCTCTATAAATGCGCACACGCTCTAAATGCACAGCATAGATCAGTCCCAGCTTATAAGAGCTCTATGTATTTTGCTCTCTAAATGCACACTCTGTCTTGGTCCCAAGGGGTGCACTTAGAGATGTTTATCTGTATTATAAAATTTTGTGAGAAAAATTAATCCCTGAAACGACTGTATAATCCCCTATAATCTGTAATACCCCCCGATAATAATATCCCCATGATTATGTAGACACTATATAAAATTCTCTATATGAACTATACATGTATATCTCCTAAATATAATACCATATGTAGAATATAGATTACTCCAAATATAATATCCGGTTTCATACACAATACTCACGGGTATTATTCAATTTATAAACTACAATTTTTGAATAAGATCCTGGATATTATATACAGTAAAATCCAATGAACTGATCACAAGATCTGGTACATATAAATGGAAAGTTAGCGATAACAAAATGTCAATGGCTAGCAAAGCTAGCAGAAATAATAGCTAACGGGCAAAATAGGAATGGTAGCCAATGAATGGCTATTGTTAACAAAAATCGGTGCCAGCAAAAAAGCAGAAATAACAACCAACGAACGACCAACATACAACAGGATTTACAGGCTTAGCTGCTAACAGGTAGCAGGAATGGCAACAGAAGTAAATTTTTTACTAATCCCTATATGGAAAAAAATTTTTGTGTCTCTGATGTCAATCGGCCTGAATTAACGATCTCGTCTACTAGTTACACTTAGTAGAACAGTTAACTTTCTAGTAACGTTAATGTTGACGGGGCGGGGATTGAGCAAAAAAGCTAATTATTTTCCTTTACTGTTGTTATTCATTAGTTTACCGCTATTTTTTTCATTGATATACCTCAACAGAAAATTCGATAAATGTCAGTGTTGGCAAATTACGTGGTCCTTTGCTATTTTTTAAAAGACTTGTCATTTGTCAATAAGAAGGCGGATAAGAGAAAAAGATTCGGTATTATTATTAGTTTTTAAATTAAATATTGAAAGTCAAATTCTTTTAAGTTAAAAGCAATATATCATTCATTAAATCTTGATCAGTCGATAATTTTGGCACGATTATTCTTTGGGAAGCACCTCTTATATTTACATGAAGAAGTTGAAAGCGACTATGGATGCATTGGAAGTTTCTCGAAAGTAACATGAAAGTATTTACATTCCAACGAGCACAGACTGCACGTTATTATTACTGGTCCTAACGAAATTATTGATTTCCACATGATTATTTCTCCTAACTCTCCAATTAAATTTATTCATAAAAAAATTTGTAAGCGAGTTATATATTTATTATGTGAACCTAGCAATTTCAGTGGCTTGAGACCAATAGGATCGATAACATCCCTAGTGAAATAGTTAAATCAAACTTTCTATTATTTGACTGGAAAACAGTTAAATAAACAAAAAAATTAGCGATTTCCTTGTACCGACTTTTCTTAACCGAATCAGCTTCTTTATGTTCTTTAACTAATGACTTTATACTTTACTAAGAAATCTGAGATCTGAATCATAAAGAAAAGTTATTCGAGGTTTCACTTCGATTTGGCCAATATCGATATTGCAATGGATCCAACTACGTACACTATAGTCAAAATTATTTGTAATGCTCTTTATTATTCATCAAAAACTTGCGAGCTATCAATTTTGATTGTTTTAGTGTTGATAGCGTAATTACAGAATTAAGCTCGTATATCTGTTTAAGTTTCCGGCACAACGATACGTAGAACAACCCATGTTTGTTCGAAACAACTAAATTTTTCAAAAATGGAATATTTCTCGATGCAATGGGAAATTGGCAAATATAGTAATCGAAAACACCGTTTCAGTTTTTGGTGTGAATATAGGAAAGTCGGAAAATAGCATTATTGAGCGAAATATTTTTCGGTTTGGGTTTTGAGCGAAAGGTTTAAGCTTACCCGAAACCATCGTAATTATTTCATGACAATATATTTCCTTTAGTTGTTCTTAATTCTCGCAATCAATTTGCTCAATTTTGGTGAAAATAATTATATGTTAGAGTTGTATAAACATATATTTAATAAATAATAATATTATCGTTATATAATACATGTAGTAATTTTATCTTCGTTTGGCCTAAACAATCGACTCGTCCAGATAAGTCAGTTGACTGGGTAACGTATTGAACCATGTCTGGTGTTCCGCACGGTTCGGGTTTTTATGTTATAATTAAACTTGTTCGTCATGAATTCTATTATATGATGCAAATTATTATTTTACAAGTTTTGAAAGATAAAACGAAATTTCATTCGTGAACTTTGAACGAGAAATTAGCCACAATGCCAAAGTTTAACACAACAAGTACTAATAATAAAAATTTTTCGTCTGGTTCTATTCTAGATATTCTCAAATTTTCATAAGTTAGCACAGAAGATATTGCGTAAAACGTTTTTGAACTTTGATAATATTATTTTACGCGATCTTCCGCGCTAATGCACAAGACTTTTGCAGTACATTTTATAAAATTCAATATACATGTACATGTATATCGATATCGGTATTCCTTTATATGTATTAGTACGTAATGTGTTTGACAAGAAATCGTAATTACGTGTGTACATGTATAAAATGTAACATTCCATGTATTTAGTAATTACGTATAGGTGTAACTACATATAGTTAACAAAATCAACTATTTTTAGAAAAAAGATTACGTAATCTTATCGGAACTGTCCTATACATGAAGTGTACATCTATAACAATAGACATTGACATTGAATACGCTTTTCCCTGAGTCACAAGATTGCAAGATCATTATTAAGGTTGGTGAGATGATACTTGACACTTTTTGAATTTTGTTTTCGTTTTTTTGGGTTCAATTAGCAATTGTTATATTAGTATAATAATCAAAGATTAATTTTATTAATTGCTTGCAAAAATTCACGTATTTTATATTTTATTTGCCTGAAATAAAAATAGAAGACAAAAATCTGATCTATTAAGTATTTTACAAGAACATCATGGTAAGAAAGTATATTATTTCGCAAATCTACAACTTATATTCATTAAATTAACAGGTTGCTGAAATTTTACATCACTGTAATTTTACATCACTGTAATTGCTTCATTATTCTCACTTTGCTCATTATCACTTGAGAGATTATTTCGGATTCAGTGAATCTAGAATGAAGATCTTGGCATCTCCTCTAACGATAATATCCGGTAAAATCCGTCCTATATTGAAAGTTAGAGTTAATAATTTTTTGTAAGTTTATTGCGTTATCTAGTTTATGTATTTTTTGAATCATCCAGCTCTTACACCTGCTTAATTTTCACGGCAACAAAGTGTAACTTACAACCAAAAGGTATTTAATGACCAGAATTTGTTCACTAAACCGGTTGGATTATCGTTATCACTTCGCTTTACATGGTTTATTGCTTGCTCGCTTTGGCGATTTGACTCGCAACTATTGCCAATCTTTTATATCTGGTGATTTACTGAAAAATCATTGACTATTTTCTTAAACCCTGCGATTCACAGAAATCGTGGATCAACGAAGACTGTTTATTGTTCCAAGACCCACGAAGCTCAGATAAACGACACATGTGGTTACATCGAGACTTTGCCTCACCACATACAATTGCGATGCACGGTTTAAAGGAACTTTGGATGTGGGATGGAGTAATCAATTTATTCTATGACGAAAACCAGTTTTCGGATTTGTGAATGACTTCGTTTTGGAAATTAGTACGAATGCGGAAATTTATTATATTAAAGAGAATCGCAAAGTTGCGTGCATCATATCAGAAGTATTTTCAGGCGGTATACAGAATCATTTCATCGAGAGTCATTTGCATAGCACTCTGCATTTTTGCAGTAAATTATCAATAGAAATACGTATGTTGTTCCGCAACATCTTAAGGATGTTTTCAATTTATTTTTAATACATCTTTATTATCTTTGAAAAGGCGGGAAAACTCCTGCAGAGGGTTATAATTTTGCGGTGTTTTAATTATATACTCGCTTGACAAAATTGTCCGAATACTAAAAAATTTTACAATATTTTAAATAGTTATAATTCAATTATTTACGTATCAATCAGATACATACAAAAGTTATGATTAGATAGCTTAAGTAGTTTATTATTAGTGTGTAAATATCAGTTTTGTTTAATTTCGTCATTATTTTTACTAACTAAACTTTTTTCATTGATTTTGAAATCTAAAAATGTTCGATATACGTACCGTATCGGTACTTGGCGTTAGAATACATACGTAGTAAGATATTCAATTACGTTGGACAAATTTTAGTTTTTTTATATGATTTCTAAAATAAAACTTATTCTTTCTTTGTTAATATCGATATTTTCAAATATATTCATAAATTATGTCACAAAAAAGAGCTCATTATAGTTCTTTGGAAAGGCAAACATTTCATTAGAAAAATTTAATCAATCTTAAATCCCAAAATCTGCAGTTTCTGAACTATAGA